CTGCGGGCAGCTCCGGGGCCCTCGCGCTAACGAAGTCCTTTAGCTGGCGCTGCTGTTGACCACGGCCAACGCCACTAGTTAAGCTGGACTTCTTTAAGTAATTCCAGATGAGCATTCCCATATTTAGGACAACTTGTTCGAACCGTTGTTGCCTGACACCAACTCTTCCTTCCTCCCTGGGGTCCATGCTACAATTTGATTAAAACTAGGAATAAACCAGCCTGAGTTTTGTTTCCCTTTATTTTTTTTTATCCCTAAGAGAAAGAGAGTAAGTGGGTGTGGAGGGGTAGGGGAGGAGTTGGGGGGGCAGGCAGAGGGAGAGGAAGAGAGAGAATCTTAAGCCAGCTTCACGCCCAGCATGGATCCACTCTCCATCCCATGACCCTGAGTGAGATCATGATCTGAAGCCATAATCAGAGTCGCACGCTTAACAGACTGAGCCACCCAGGTGCCCCTTGTTTCCCTTTTCAAGTTCAGCCTTTTCCACTTTATCACAAAGGGAAAGGAAGAACGGGAGGGAGGGAATGTTTGATTCACACCAGCCGCTCTCATTTGGGAACAACAGTTGTAGTAAGTGCCCTATGGTTGCAAAGGGGCTTGAACTCGGAGAAGGGAAGAAATGCTGCCTGTTTTTGTTTTGTTTTGTTTTTAAAGATTTTATTTATTTAACAGAGAGAGAGAGACCACAAGTTGGCAGAGAGGCAGGCAGAGACAGAGAGGGGGAAGCAGGCTCCCTGCTGAGGAGAGAGCCCGATGTGGGGCTCGATCCCAGAACCCTGAGATCATGACTTGAGCCAAAGGCAGAGGCTTAACCCACTGAGCCACCCAGGCGCCCCTGCCTGGTTTTAAATTAACTTCTAACCTCGGTGACCACAGACCTCAGTGAGGGTGATGGATGAGGGTGACGAGCTTGCCAAGAAGAGATGAAGGGGAAACCTCCCCATACACAGAGGCGCGAGTTATCTTGAAGTTCCTAGAAGGGAAGAAAAGTGAAAGAGAGGGTGAGTGTTTTATAATCTTAAACCGGCAAAGGAAAACTGGCAGGAGGACCTCAGGGCCTGGAAGCATAAGACAGGTGTTCTAAGAATAATTCTGGCCCTCTTGACCCCAACCCCAGTGAAGCCCTAAATGTCACCTCTCGGCTCATGGCATCCTCACTAGTAAATTAGTACAAATATTTGCCCCCTTCCTAAGGGAACAGACAAAATCACAATGGCGCTGAGTAACTTGGCCCCCTTTGCGGAGGAAACACATCTGAATCATGTGAGGTACAGCTGCACCCCCGGGAACGTCTCCAGGTTCTGCTCTGTGGTAAGGCTGGGGCTCCCAGGATGTCCTCCTGCCTTCTGTCTTTCCCTCAGCTGTTTTCTTCCTTCTTTCTTTTCTCCTCCTCCTCCTAATTCTTCTTCCTCACCTGTCTATTCTTGGATTTCAACACACATTTTCACTTTCCTCTGCCCAGCAAACTGAGCAACACCTGTTCTGCGTTTGCTTTTTTCCCTCTCATTTGACAATAAATCTTGTGAACCTCCCCAAATGAGCCCAGATCAAATGCCTCACTCTTTCCAACAGCTGTGTGGTATCCCAGCATTGGCTGTGCCAAGATTTCCCCCGGGGCCCTGGTTTTAAGGGCACCCAGAGTCTGTTGAGAGTAAAAGGCATTTCCGGTCACGGTCCTGCTGTGTGTGGAGCTGTGGGGAGAGGTGGAGCCCCTTCCTGTGGGGACTCGGGGCCTAGCAGAGGAGGTGGGCCTGTAGGAGAGGGGCACAGGGGCTCTACATACGGGGGGGCACACACACAGGGCTGCGGGGGCCCTTCTTGGGGCTCCATGCTTCTCCTGGCTTCCACTTCTCTGCCAAGGTCAGAGGTAAAACAAATCAGCTTGCCTCCAGAATGTGGCCTCAGCTCTAGGTGTTTACTCTCAGATGAGGGAATTCTGTAGGAAGGAAGGAAGGAAAAACCAAAAACCCCGGTTCAGAGATGTTATAGCTAGAACACGGGGTAGTCACAATAGCTGTCAAACGTGGAGGAAGAGGCCTTGTTTATCGGAGGCAGGCGGCTCCTCAGGTACGGGGCAGAAGGGGCCAGGAAAGGCGACCAAAGCATCTTGCTCAAGGCCGAGCATGAGCCAGTCCCGCATTCTTGCCGCTGCCTAGCACGTCCCCCCTCCCGGGACTCCAGGTGAGGCTGCCGCTCCCGTGCCCTTTCCTTGTTTCTTCTGGGTCCAGGAGGAGCAGCTGCAGGGGAACGCCTGCCCTGCCCTCTGAGGGGATGAGCGCAGGCCTCGCTGGGCAGCAGAGCTTGGCCTCCAGGCGCCAGCCTCCACACGCAGCTGAATGTGAACAGAGTCACCCAAACTATGTCACCTCCCTGGCGAACTGGGGGGCGGGGTGGGAGTTTGTGCCTCAGAAGGGATGGCACAGGCAGACCCATCCACTGCCAGGGCTGGGAATGCTGAGGAAAGGCCCAGAAGAAGGGGTGGGCCTCGTCTTGCATTAATGCATTAAACAGAAGGAAGGCAGGACAGACGGATGGCCCCAGGACTTCTGGAGGGAGAGGTTTGGCCTTACAGGGTTTTTCCTGGTCTGGCTCCACAGGGGAACGGTTTGCTGGGCCTTGAGAGACCCAGAACCTGGGAGTTCTTGATGGCCGTGTTTATGTGTGGTGAGGGAGAGGGGGCTGTGTTTCTTCTGCAGAGGCCAGAGCAGGTCGAACTGAGAGAAATTATTGCTGAACCACGGTTGCCCAGCGGCTCTTCTCCCGGTCATGGTCATGCAGGTTCACCCCAGTTCCGGGCATCTTCGACAGACTCATCGCTTTCTGGACACTGGCCAGTCGCTGAGACTCACAGGTTCTCCAGTTTCCGACTTCCACCTCCTCCCTGTTCGTACTGGTACCTCCTGGCCTCATTCCTTCTGATCTGAGGACCCCGTCTGCCTCCAGTACCCCCGCACCGCGGCCTGTAGCCTGGCTGGAGCAGACATGGGATCCTTCCCAAAATGCTGATTTCCCGCCAGTAGACGGTGACGTCTGTCCGCTCCCCCCATGCGGACGGAGGATGAGCAGTGAGACCAGGGATTTCACCAGGGAGAGTCAGCTCCTGGAGATGACTGGGAAGTGGTGACAATGACAGTGAGAGGAACGATAGGGAAGGGTTCGCTTTAGGGAGGAGAAGAGGGCTGGGTTTGAGGAGGAGCAAGAGGAGAGAAGCCTGGCCTGGATGGTCCAAGGCCAAAGAAAGACGATACAGAAGTCTCCCTTGGGAGGAGAGGAGCACAGGGGGGCAGGCCATGCACCTGTCAGCCTCTTCACAGCCCCGAGCTGGGTGGTGCCCACCATTCACAGGATCCCTATTTTACACACAAGGGACCCGAAGGCCAGACGGATTGAGGTAAGGGAACTTACCCTGTGTGGGAACAAACCTACATAGACGGTCCAGGGTCAGAGCTGAGATTTAATCCAGGCCCGTGGGATCCCCACTCTCTAGACCAGCACTGCACCAAAGAAGGCAGTAACCACCCTGGAGTGGGTATCAGGATCTAGAAAGAAGGCCAGGAGTGGTGGGGCCAGCAGTTTTATGATACTGTGGAGTCGTGTTAAAAAGCCACATTGGAACCAAAGTGGAGGACAGATTCTGGAGAGCCTTAGCCGAGGCCTAAAGTCACCCCCCCCCCCCCGCCTGTGCCCCCCCCCCCCCCGTCTCCTCTTCCCTTGGTTCTGCCCTGTCCCCTCCTTGGAACCGCACCCTACATTTCTGCAGCCCGTTGTTCATACTGTGCTTACGCATGAGTTTAATAAGGCCAAGCAGATCCCCGGGAGCAGGAACTTGTTCATCTGAAAGGGGATCCCTGGGGATTTGGCCCGAGATGAATTTCCCAAGATCGCCCAGGAATCACCAGCCTGGCTTTGCAGCCCTAAATGCCAGTCGGCTCACCACAACCTTGCAATCGCCCCCCTGGCGTCTAGGGGGCACCAAAGCCTCACACTGATTCCTTCTAGGGCGGGAGAGGCCGCCGGGGCCCCCGCAGACACCTGCTCAACCGCGCCGCGTATGTGCTGACTCGGTTCCTCCAAGTACATAGGGGCTGCAAGCTTGTGATTCTTTTCTTCCTTCTACTTTGCTCGGTCCCTGGCTGCCTTTGGGAGGAGGGTGATGGGCTAGTCTGTGCCCTCTCATCTCTGCCTCGGGCATCCCAAAGCAAGGACTCCATCTGTTCTTTTCAAAGGTTAAAAAAAATTCTAAAAATCACTTTTAAACTTAGATTTTTAAAAAAAAATTATCAAAGCAATGTTTTCACACGGTTCAAAACAATACGCCCCTGTTGAACCTCTTGAGATAATTAAAATACTGTAGAAAGTTCTTTACTGTAGCCACACCAGGGGCATATCCCCTCCGGCATCACCACCCGGACAATCTGTTCGATACAGCTTTGAAGCATGGCTAGTTAACCAAAGGAGAAATCATTCATTCATTCTGTCTGTCTGCAAGTAACTACTGAGCCACTAGGTCAGGGACTGCTAGAGGCCTTGGGGATGGCCAGAAATGAGACGAGGTCCCTTCTGGCCCAGCGCACATCCCACGGTGGGGCCGATGAACCCCAGGAATGCCAGGTGCTAAGTCCTAGGAAGAAAACAGAGCAGGATTCAGGGTGAGAGTGATGGGCAAGTGTCCGTGGTCCAGAAAGATCGCTCTGCAGGAGTGATTTTGAGCAGAACCCTAAACTTGGGGAGCAGCTGGTAGGGGTGGAAATATATCTGTCGGTTGGGGAGCGGCCCGCCCACCCACGAGGTGAGAGCGAAAAAGTTGGGATTCTTGGCTCTGTTGCGCCTTCTGCCAGTGCCCCCGCCGCGCGGGCTCTCTCGCTTCCTAGAGCACTGTCCCTCCCAGGGAGGGAGGCCTCCCCTCCCGTTCCTGGGGCCCCGCCCCGCCCCCTACCCCCTCCCTACGCGGTGCAGCCTCTCCACCCCTCCCCACCCCGCGCGAGCGCCGGGGCGGCCACCCCCACCCCGGGGGGAGCGCAGAGCCGCGGCTACGCGGGAAACGTAAAGTTTCTGCAGCTCAAAGTGACGCAAAAATTCTTAAAGAGCTCTTTGGCGGCGGATATCTAGAGATCAGACCATGTGAGGGAACGAGAGAGTACAAATACGGCCGCTCTGGCGCCCGCTCCGGCACAGGCAGCCGCGCCCCCGGTGCCTCGAGGGCGCGAGGGCCGCCCCGCCTCCGAGGGCCCTGGACCAGCCTCCCCACGGACTCCCGGCAGGTGGGTCGGCTTGCCCGGCTGCGAATCCCCACTCCTGCCGCACCCCACCCCGCGGGGGCTCCCCCGGGCGCTGGCTGGTGGGTGGGCGTGTGCGCGCGATGGGCTCCAGGCGCTGCCGCCGCCCTCGAGGGGAGCACGGGTGGGACAGCCGGCGCGCCCGGGGCAGGGCGCGGCCCAGGGGACCGGGGGACACTGGAGGGCTCCTTAGTCTGCCGCCCGCGGGGGCTGTTCCGATGGCGTGGGGACCAGAGCAAGACCCCGTGAAGATGTGCTTTAGGCTAAGCGTTGTCCCGCGCGTGGGGAAAAGTTGCTTTAGTTTCAGCTCGCGGCTCGGGTTTGGTCCCTTACCGCCGTGGCGGGCAGGTGGCTGCGTGCAGAGGCGTTTCTGCAGGGAGGCTTCTGGTTGACAGAAATGCCCAAGGATCTAGAAGAATCTCTGAACGGACTCTTAAGTGGGACGAGTCTCCGTGCGCCTGGGTTGTTCCCACTGGCAGAGCTGGTGCACGCTCAGCCCCCTCCCGGGCCATTCAGAATTTATGGGAATCTCAGACTCCAGCGAGCTGTTCTACAGGGTTCAAGTGTGGAACCGTCAGTTGCTGAAGAAAACGTGTGCATTTAAATATGTCAAAAACACTCTCTGGAGGGGAAGGACCCGAGGGAGCACGTCTGCTTTGGCCTTGGGTCTTTTGCGTAAAGAATTTCTGGTTCACTTGGGGTTCTGAAGAATCTGAGAGGGGGAGACTTTCTAAGAGTCAGACGTTACCAGCGTTTGTGTGTGTGTGTGTGTACTTTTATGCTCAATTTTGTCCAGAAAAATGAACCAGGTCAGTGGATTATTTATGAGTCCGCTAGCTCTCATCATGCTAAGACTGGATCAAGTATTTAATGTGTTTTGCCTTCAGTTACATAGGAAAAATGTCTAAGGAAGCAACATTGGGATTTAGGTTTAATGACACGGAGGGGCATTAGCGTTTGGGTTTTGAGCAGTGGAGGGAAACACACAGCTTTGACTCTGTCCTAGTCCTTGCTTTTGTGTGGAGTCGCTGGTGCCCAAAGGGGGTTTTCCTACCACGGACTGGGGTGGGTTTGGCTGCTCCCAATGCCCTGGGGAGAGTCCTGTTATGATAGGGCTAACTAAGCAAGCCATTTTGTATATGGGCTTTTCTTTCTTTTTTTTTTTTCCGCTGAACTCAAGCAAGAGCAGCTTGAGACTGCTTCACGATTCATCAGAAGGCCCCTCAGCGCTCTGATGATGCCCGTGGGACATTTCAGGAATCTAAGAGCAGGACAGTTCCTCAAACCCATTTCTCTCCATCTCTTGCTTAAAAAACATATACTAAGGGTGGCCAGAGGGGTGAGGGTGGGGACAGAGTGATGCTGAAGCTTCAGTGGAATCAGGAGAACCTTAGAAATTCCTCTGTGGGTGATATTTAGAGTTTGGGGAGTATTTTGATGAAACGCAGAGAAGCATGGTCAAGAGCTTCACAAATGGGCTGTGTGCCATGGTGTGGGGGTGCTTGGCTGGAGGGGGTCATCTCCGAGGGCAGGCTTGCAGAAACATCCCCGATGTCCCCTTCTGAAGAGAAACAGATGATTCCACGAATGAAGCCAGTTAAGGGCAGTCCCTTCTCCTTCGTACCACCAAATGGTTTAATTTGAGAGAACAAAGTCAGGGCTGCCTGAAGAAGTTTAATTTCAATTTGGCTTAATAAACCAATAGGATATGGTCATGATTTCACTTTTTTTTTTTTTTTTGAAGAAAGATGCCTGTGTGACCAAAGGGAGTAATTTTTCTGTCAGAAGCTACCTCACACCTTAGTTCTTCCCATCACAGCTCAGCTCCTCAGCTCCAAGTGAGCGGCAGAAGAGGGCCCCGCATAACCAGATGTCCGAGTCCCCTCCACTCCTGTGACCGTGACCCTAATCTCTCTGCTTTAAGCAAACACAACTGGAAATGATGCTGCCAAATGCCCGAGCCCCGGGACTCTGCCCAAATGTTGCCGTCCAGTCAGGGTCCCCTGGGGACCCCCAGGGGTCACCGGAAGGCAGAGGTTTGCACAAGTCAAATCCTGCACCTCAACCACCCACAGGAAACAGGAGCCTGGGTTTCCCCACCCCCACATCCCCTTTGCAGGACACCCAGGGTGTGGAGCGATAGCAACGGCCTCCAGGCAGTAAGATCTGGGTTCTGCCCATTTTCCTTCCAGTCACGCATCTGTTGCCGGTCAGCGCCGGGGTCCTCTGAGGACTGTGGTGTTTCCACGTAACAGTCACAGGCTTGGGTGTGGAGTCAAAGATCTGATAAATCGCCCTACTTCTCCATTCCTGGGGCAATTAGTCTCTGGGCTGAACCTTCTAGCACCCTAAGGAAAGAAAAGCGGGCAACTTGCCGGAAGGGACCCGGGTGGAAAATAGATGAAAGTGGCCTGTGGGAGACACCTGGCAGAGGGGATTTTCCCTGAGCAGAGGGTGAACTGCTTTTCTCCGGTGGGTGCTAGACCCACCAGAGGCTGAACACACACCCCCCTCTTTCTAGGCACAGCTTATCGTACTGACTTGGGTCCATTTTCCGAAATGATCTCTGAGTACAGACTCTGTGCAGGGGCGCTCCCTCAGCCTGACGGTGACTGGGGAGATGACTGCTCATATACTGGGGGCCAAGAACACGTTTTTAAAGCAAGGGAGTGTGCTCCCAGCCTTGTGTGGGGTGACAAAATGCGTAGAGATGAGGTCGGTGTGAGGCCGTTGGCCTTCTCTCTTCCCTGATTACCACCCCAACCTCAGCCAACGTTATTCATTAGTGGGTATTTAAGCCATGGGCTTTTATACTTTTTTTTTTTTTTAAGATTTTCTTTATTTATTTGAGAGAGAAATCATGAGCAAGGGAGGGGCAGAGGGAGAAGCAGACTCCCCGCTAAGCAAGGAGCCAGAAGCAGGACTTGATCCCAGGACCCCAGGATCATGACCTGAGCTGAGGGCAAATGTTTACCCGACTGAGCCACCCAGGCGCCCCTAGATTTTTTACTTTTAATTCATTTATTTTATTTTGTTTTTAAGTTATCCCTACACACAACATGGGGCTCAGACTCCCAGTCCTGAAATCAAGAGTCGTAGGCTCCACCGACTGAGCCAGCCAGGGGCCCCCAAGTGATAGTCTTTCTAAAAGCCAGGACTGGATATCCTGTCAGTAATCCCCGAACCCCCTGGATGGCAGAGGGAGAGATGAATCCCAGCAGTATGGAGATGTGGGGGTCATATCCCCTGGGGCCGGCCCGGTGACCAGGGTCTCCAGACACTGACAAGTGGGAGATGGCATGGGGAAGGACTCCTGGGATCCTGAGGTCCAGCTCTTTATGCCATTATTTGAGGTAGGGAGGGAAGAAGTGGGGTGGGGCTGGGGGGACGTGGTGACAAGGCCAAGGCAGATCTGGGAGAGCCAGCTGTGTGCTCTGGGGGAATGCGGAGCTGGAGGCTGGGAGGCAGGCTGCATTAGAGGGAGCGAGTCAGCGGGGCCTTTGCCTTCTTATGTTTTTGTATGATTTTTTTCTTGGCACATTCAAAGAAAAAGAACATTTTATTTCCATTACTACTGAGCTGCTGAATGAAGATAAACGGAATTTTTTCCCTCTCACTAAGGGACTCCCTCGATTTTAGGGAGGGGCTGAGCTGGCAGGGCTCCAGGTCCCCTGTGGTTTACTCCAGCTCACCCGTGGCTCTGAGGGCTCAGCCCTGCCTGGGACTTGTGTCTCCTGCACCTCTGTTCTTTCCTCTCCCCTGGGTATGTTGTTTTTGAACACTAATCCAGCTAGCTGGCTCTTTTTCTTGTTTCAGAGGAAAGGAGCAGGGGCCGGAGGAAAGGGGAGGGAGGCCCTGCCCAGAGAGAGAGAGGAGAAAGGAGATATGCTATTCTGGGCGCACCCTGGGCCCACAGGGAGATCTGACTGACTGGAGGTTTCCCAGCGCTCTGAAGACTAGAATGATTTTCCTCCCCCCAGTTTTTTCTTTTAAAACATTTCAACTGAGGGGTGCCTGGGTGGCTCAATGGGTTAAGCCTCTGCCTTCAGCTCAGGTCATGATCTCAGGGTCCTGGGATCCAGCCCGTTATCAGGCTCTCTGCTCAGCAGGGAGCCTGCTTCCCTCTCTCTCTCTGCCTGCCTCTCTGCCTACTTGTGATCTCTGTCTGTCAAATAAATAAATAAAATCTTTAAAACATTTCAACTGAAAATTCAGAGAAATGGCCTGGCGAAACTTCTTCCCTCAGAGCTGCCAGTCATTAACATTTTATCATGTTTGTGTGTCCACTGGCTCTAATTTTTGCACGTGTACTATATGTAGTTTGATTCATTCTGTATAATATGTATGACATAATTTGTGTAACAGTGAGACAATCTATATAGCACATAATTTTTGTTGTTGAAACTCAAGAGTTTGCAGACATCTAAATACTTGACATTTTGTCTCCTAAGAACGAGGACATTGACCCTACATAAGCATGGCCCCATTATTATCACATTTGGGACACAATTGGATCAACTTTTATGAAATACACAAATATCACAGCCCTTATTTAAATTTCCCCCACTCTCTCAAGGGTGTCCTCTGTAGGATAGAGGGTTACTTCTTGAGACCACAGACTCACAGGGGTCGGAAACCACCTCTTGCCCCCCACCTCTGTGCATCTGAGGCCTAGGTCAGTACTATGTAACGATGAACTGATTTTCATGAATGTCCCCAGGCCGCGTGCACGACACACTGTAAAGCACATTTCAGAACTTCTTGACCTAAGAGTGTAGGTCCCTACAGGCAACATTTCCTAAAGCAGAAGCATTTTGTGGCCTCTGTGGGCCCCTCCTCTCTGCTGCTTGACCTCAGCCCTGGGCTGCTGTGTTCTCCCTGCTCCCTGCCCCGCCTGGAAAAACGGGTGGCTCCCCCTTTCCTCTTGCCTGCACCACTCCCACTGTACTTAATTCGACTTCAAATCCCTTTCTCCCTGACCCCTC